AATAAGAATGGTATTATGAGTCGAAATGGGATCGTAGTCAAGCGCTGGTGATCGTCTGTGCTGGCAGAAAGGTGTTAAGAACTAATGACCTTCCTCTATTACAGCCAACAACACTTTATTCACCTAACCTAACCTAACCTAACCTAACCTTTTTATAAGTCTCTTAGATAGAAAACAAAATATTCATTACCTAAAAAAATTACCGTAATGTTTAATCTGATCGTAAATCGTGTTTATGTGAGGGATTTATGAGTTTGGGGGATTTACGACTTTTTTAGGACTTACGAGTTTTTGGGATTTACGATATTCTGGGTTTTTACTACTTTTGGATTTTACACTAGATACTTCTCATATACTTTTGATAGGGTGATCGAAAAGTCCCTGTGCACCAACACGAATCAATAATCCACTATTTACATTATTTACCTTAGAGTTAATATAAGAAAATAACCGCAGTAAATATTGATCATTAGTTCAGGTGCACAGTGACTTTTCGATCACCTTGGTTATATTAACAGGTAAACTACGACTAATTAAAGATTCAGGTAATTCTCACTAGAATGGATTTCAGATATCATTCCAGCCAGCTGTTATCTACACTATTCCAGGTGTTATCTATTCCAGGCACCATTCCAATTCTGGAGGATGTTTTGGGGGGCATCATTCCTTCTAACAGTTGGCTATTGGGGCCTATTAGGACTGGGGCCGATAAGGACAGGGGCCTATATGACTTGCAATCGTGTGACGTGACCTTAAGCCCGTGGCTGTCATTGAGTCCTTAACATGACCCTAACCCATGACTCCTAAACCTAACCCATGACATGACCCATAAACCCATGACCTTAACCCTTGACCCTAAACCCATGACCTTAACCCTTGACCCTAAACCCATGACCTTAACCCTTGACCCTAAACCCATGACCTTAACCCTTGACCCTAAACCCATGACCTTAACCCTTGACCCTAAACCCATGACCTTAACCCTTGACCCTAAACCCATGACCAACCTGACCCTAAACCCATGACCTAACTCCTGACCTAAACCCATGACTCTTAACCCTGACCCTAAAACCCATGACTCCAACGACCCTAAACCCATGACCTTAACCCTTGACCCTAAACCCATGACCTTAACCCTTGACCCTAAACCCATGACCTTAACCCTTGACCCTAAACCCATGACCTTAACCCTTGACCCTAAACCCATGACCTTAACCCTTGACCCTAAACCCATGACCTTAACCCTTGACCCTAAACCCATGACCTTAACCCTTGACCCGAAACCCACGATATGAGAAAGGAAGGGGCAAGGCAAGGTAATATGGCAATATGGCTCCCAAGACAAGACTATAGCAACTTAGGGTATTACGTGCTGACAGCTTAATGAATTCCTCGCCCCCGCCCCCATCCCCTCCTAACTCGTTATATATTTTCCTCTAAAAGGTTATAATGAGCTATAATGGGCTATAATGAGCTATAATGGGCTATAATGAGTTGGTATTATACTCCAGGATATATTATAACCATTGGCTGGGTATACCTGTAGAAAGTATAACCAGGTGGATATATTTCTTGGTATATTCGTCGTTTATTTATTTTTTTTTTGTTATCCTTGTGTTTATTTTGATCATTTGAACCTTAGAACTGAAGCCTAGGGTCAGTTTGTAACAAGACAGGTGATTGGTTGACGGATGTATATACCTTTTGATATAATTTTTGACATTCTTGACACTCTTGACACATTCTTGGCGCATTCTTGACACATTCTTGACACATTCTTGACACATTCTTGACACATTCTTGACACACTCTTGACACACTCTTGACACTTCTGACGAACTCTTGACACATTCTTAACACACTCTTGACACACTCTTGACACACTCTTGACGCACTCGAAATTCTCATAACCTAACCTGGAAAAGTCCTTCAGAGTGTTATCATAAAACAAGGTTATGATAACGAGATATTAACGAACGGGGAGAGAGAGAGAGAGAGAGAGAGACTGTAAGCATGACATATAGAAGAAGCAGACAGACTGACAGACGTGTTAACAAACAGAAAAAAAACAAGAGAGAAAAAACAGACGACTCTCGGCATTCTCCCATTCAAGGTTTCAATTACAGGGCTTGAATGGGTCCCAAGTATAATAGGCACCAATCCTAATAGCCTAGCTCCTCCCCCTTAATAGGGCTTACAGTAGTTCTAATGGGATCTAATCCTAATGGGGCCGAGTTATAATAGGTTCCACCCAACCCAACCTTGGCATAACTACCAGGGCCAATTATACGAGCATGTCAATCCCTTTAATACAGCGCTCATTAAGACTGGGGCCTGTTAGGATTGGGGTCTGTTTGGATTGGGGCCTGTTTGGGTTGGGGCCTGTTTGCATTGGAGCCTGTTTGCATTGGGGCCTGTTTGGATTGGGGTCTGTTTGAATTGGGACCTGTTTAGATTGGGGCCTGTTTGAATTGGGACCTGTTTGGATTGGGACCTGTTTGGATTGGGGCCTGTTTGAATTGGGGTCTGTTTGAATTGGGACCTGTTTGGATTGGGACCTGTTTGAATTGGGACCTGTTAGGATTGGGGCCTGTTTGGATTGGGACCTATTAGCATTCGGGCCTGTTAGCATTGGGGCATATTAGAATTGGAGCCAATATAACCTTGATATATTCTTGATATATTTTTGACAAACACATAACATATTCATACTGTTGACACACCTGACATACACCTGACATACACCTGACATACACCTGATATACACCAAACACTGTTTACATTTTCTAGTATATCCCTGAAAACGCTCTTGTTATACTGTGGATATATGTCTGAATATAATTATGATATACTCGCAGTATACTCATATCCATCCCAGGGGGAGGCCAGTCATAGTTGTACCATAAGAAAAGAACAATAATGATAATGAGAATTTGACGAGCAGAAAAGAGAGAGAGAGAGAGAGAGAGAGAGAGAGATAGAGAGACAGAGAGAGAAAGTTATCACAATCCACTGAATCTTTTAAGAACGTCGTTATATCATAGAATTGTCATAATAATAATCATAATAACAAATCCTCAAATATTACCAGAACAAATATCACAAAAATATCATGGGGTCGTTCGTCAACTGGATGTGACAATAATACTTCGCTGGACTGAAGTTTCTCCTTTGTGATGTTGGTGTTTTTTCTGACTGTCGCTGTGGTCTTGTGCCAGGCGAAGTATTAATTGTAATAGTTGGGGGAGTGAAGGTGGGAGGGGGCTGGGGTAGGGGGCTGTGAGGTGTAGGAGGGAGGGAGGGGGCTAGGTGGGGGGCTGTGAGGGTGGGAGGGAAGGAAAGGATGGCTGTAAGAGTGAGAGTGGGCGGAAGAGGGTCGGGGAGGGGCAAGGAGAGAGGGGTAGAGGGGAAGGGGGTCGAGGGAGACAGAATAGATGAGGAAAGAGGGATAAACAAAAAACAGGGAGATGGAAGAGAGAAAAGAGAGATGGGGGACGAAGAAAAGAGAGAGATAGAGAGAGAGAGAGAGACGATGGTGATGATGTAAGCTAGATAGAGAATGAGAGAATCTTCTTATCACTTATTTCTGCTTCATTTATCTTTATACATTATGGCGGACATCAGACAAACTGTCAAGGAGCTATCAAACTAGACAGACAGACAGAGAGACAGACAGACAAACAGACAGAAAGACAAACAGGCAAATATGTCTTGTCTGACGTAAGTGTAAAGGATTGTTAAAGTTTATTATTCATTTCATCCAGTGTTTTGTCTCTTGGGGGAGTGTCGTGTTGTAAGCTCACACGACACATAACGTGGACACATACAGCAGGACCACACACGTAAGGGAACAGGAGTCTGGGTTGAAATGACTAATATACTGACACACTGGAATACCGCATCTCTCTCTGTGTATCCGTGTCTTTCTGTCTCTCCCTGTGTCTCTCTGTCTCTCCCTGTGTCTCTCTGTCTCTCCCTGTGTCTCTCTGTCTCTCCCTGTCTCCCCCTGTCTCAGAGTCCACTAACTATCAAATTAGAAAATAAATGCCGTAGAATGCAGTACCGACCACACTGCCTTCCTGTATACCGAAAAATAGCTCAATATGCAGTATACTATATCCACGCCTCCCCTTAATGAACTATCCGATATATAGGTTAGGTTAGGTTAGTTAAGAAACGAATATGGGGAATTTTAGTGTGCATAGAGCCAGTTATTACAGTAGTGTGTGTGTGTGTGGTGAAGTGGCAGCTGGGTGGTGGTGGAGAGAATATTGGAACATATACAGAGTTGTGTCACACCAGCCAGAAACAGGGAAGAAATTGTGTCATGATCACCAGCCTTTGTCACAGTCTTAAAAGTTTGTACGGTAGACTTGTCTTTACACACACACACACACACACACACACACACACACACACACACACACACACACACACACACACCCTAGGGACAATATAGAGCTGTATAAGAGTATTAACAGAACAGGTGTAATAAAACTTCCCTCGAAACTTGCAATAATAAACACCATTGTAATGAAAATAAGGTAAAATAATTACTATACAGAGGGATATGATGTTATTTATCATGTTCTACCTATAACAATCTAGGTATAACAAAGAACACCTATATTATTAATTACTTCAGGTGAACAGACTTTATATATATATAACATTAACACAGGGCAAAAAATGATCAGATTCTTATAATCGTGTGTTCAAAATTCTATTTCTGTCAACAAGAAGTAAAGGAGGCACCGAAGTCTTGTAAAATGCAGAAGGTCAAATATTTATCAGAAAATACTCAAGAACCGGCAATTCCCTCGAGCAGATGTTCAGAGGTTGGGCAGGTAGCAGAGATGTGTGGGTGTGTGTGTGTGTGTGTGTGTGTGCGTGCGTAGGAAGGACATCAATACACTCACCTTACCTGGCAGGTGTGGTACAGGAGAGGCGTGTCAGAGGCAGTAACACCAAAACACACCACAACAAGCCACACTACTTACCATTAAGATAACCGTAGCAGAGGAGAAGATCTCGTTGGTACAGATGATAAGTTATCTGTCGAGGGAGAGAAAGAAAAATTACATAAGGTTTCAGGATATTTTCAACCGTGTGTATAAATAAATGTTAAAATCCCTCGTACATCTGTCTATTCCTGGGCCTGTGCACGAGTTAATGTTCAATTCCCGTCACGAACATTCCCTAGTTTGGTTGTCAATAAAGTCATTCTTGCGTTCGTGTGTGGCTGAATGTCCTGATTATCCGGGCGATAGTGAACGCTTCCCCCGACAAATGACGACGAGGCTTGTCACTTGATGATTCCAACGTAAGGTTTCATTACAGCGGTGGATCCATGATTGCTTTTAAGGCGAGGATTGAGTAGCATATCTCCCCCAGCCAATGTGAGTAACTAACAATCTTCCTGTGAGAATTTGGGTAACTAATACTAAAACGAAAACAAATATCAGGTGGCTGACACTCACATACCGCCAGGAAAAATATTCGATTCGATTTTGTCTTTTTTTTTATTAATACATGATGCTACTTCCCTCTTCTCTCTCCTTCTTCTTCTTCTTCTTCTTCTCCTGTCCCAGCAACATGGAACAGAAGGCTGAAATGGCTAATCCTCACATATACACCATCAGGGTCAAGACAAATTGGAAGGGGGAGTGAAGGGGAGTGAAGGGAGTGGAAGGTAGGGGAGTGAGCAGAATGTGAGCCAGTACAGGTAGGGGGAAGATAGAGGCTCACCAGCTGGGACAAGAGACGATCGCGAATAACAAAACCTCACACACTCGCGAATAACAAAGCCTCACACACTCGCGAATAACAAAACCTCACACACTCGCGAATAACAAAGCCTCACACACTCACGAATAACAAAGCCTCACACACTCACGAATAACAAAGCCTCACACACACTCGCGAGTAACAAGCCTCACACACTGCAGCGAATAACAAAGCGCCTCACACACTCGCGAATAACAAAACCTCACACACTCGCGAATAACAAAACCTCACACACACTTTCGCGGAATAACAAAGCCTCACACACTCACGAATATAACAAAATACACACTCGCGAATAACAAAAACCTCACACACTCATAACAAAAGCCTCACACACTCACGAATAACAAAGTCTCACACTCACGAATAACAAAACCTCACACCGAATAACAAGCCTCACACACTGCGCGAATAACAAAACCTCACACACTACTTGAATAACAAAGCCTCATATGAATAACAAAACCTCACACACTTTCGCGAATATAAAGCCTCCCACACACTCGCGGTAGCAAAACACCTCACACACTCTTTTGAATAACAAAAAGCCTCCACACCGCCAAATAACAAAGCCTCCACACACTTTCATAGAATAACAAACTCACACTCACTTGAGTAACAAAGCCTCACACCTTTCGCGAATAACAAAACCTCACACACTCGCGAATAACAAAGCCTCACACACTACTTGAATATAAAGCCTCACACACTCCACGAATAACAAAGCCTCACACACACTCATGAATAACAAAACCTCACACACACTTTCGCGAATAACAAAGCCTCACACACTCACGAATAACAAGTCTCACACACTCACGAATAACAAAACCTCACACACTGCGCCAATAAACAAAGAAAGCCTCACACACCATGAGATAACAAAACCTCACACACTCCATGACTAACAAAAGCCTCACACACACTCACTTGAAGAATAACAAAGCCTCACACACACTCACTTGAATAACAAAGAAGCCTCACACACTCGCGAATAACAAAAGCCTCACACACTACTTGAATAACAAAACCTCACACACTGTGAATAACAAAACCACCTCACACACTTTCGGCGAGGCCAACAAAGCCTCACACACTCGCGAATAACAAAGCCTCACACACTCGCGAATAACAAAACCTCACACACTCGCGAATAACAAAGCCTCACACACACTCGCGAGTAACAAAGCCTCACACACTCGCGAATAACAAAGCCTCACACACTCGCGAATAACAAAGCCTCACACACTCGCGAATAATGTAGTTGCTATTTTAGGCTGGTTGTGTTGACGAGATGAGTAGGTGTGTGACTCTACTCTTCTTATCACTGAAAATAGACTGAAAAAAAAGATGCTGAAAGTCTAATGAATCTTCCTGTGACATTAAACTGGCCTTGAATCACATCACTAGTTTATTGTGTGACTATACAGGGTGTCTCAAAAGAAAAAAATACAATGCCCTTACAGATTACAGGGTGTGTCAAAAGAAAAAAAAACTATACCTTAATGTGATTGTCAAGGGGATTGTGTTAATGCTAGTAATACAATAGAAACATTGCCTTCGGTATATCAAGGAAATAGTTATCTAAAATAGGTTCTATTTTTTACTAGATCTCCGTTATAATAGGTACTAGTTTTAATAGGCGTCTTCTTTTTTTAACTGTCCCTAATAATAATAGACTCACACGTCCTGATAGTCACCATTTTCACGTAACCAAATCAGATAAATAGGACTGCGACCCATTGAGATTAGGATCCCTATTTGGCCTCGAGCCCGAACCCCAAGGATCTATTATACAAGTCCCTGGGGGTATAAATATAAATTAATATATATCTTGAAATGGTAGGGATGGTAGATATAAAAGGGAGGAAGAGAGGGAGGGAGAGGGAGTGAGTGGGATGGAGGGAGAGAAAGGGAGGGGTGAGGGAGATGGAAGGAGTGAAAGGAAGGAAATGAGAGAGGAAACGATGGAGGAGGGTTAGGAGAGAGTGGGGGAAGGAATGTAGGGAGTGAGAATGAGAGTAAGTGAGAGGGGGTGAGAGAGGGATGGAATGTGAGAGGGATGGAGGGTGAGAAAGAGGGAGGGAATCCGCTCTAGTAAACATATATATAAATGTTAGGAACAAAAGTAATGCCTGTAGAGATATATTGTTTTTGTTTTTTTGTGGAGGGAAAAAATATAGAGTGAAAATGTATTGTGGCATCATTCAGGTCTCTCGGTGTGTGTGTGAACGAGGTACAGGGGAGTCTTAATTGCCTGGATACGGTTCTCTCCCCCTTCTTTCCCCTCTCCCATTCTCTCCCCTCCCCCCCTCACCTCTCCCCCCGTGTCCCCTTCTCTCCCCTTCCTTCCGTTTTCCTCCCCTCCCCTCTCCTCCCCTCTCCTCTCCTCCCCTCCCCTCAACTCTCTCCTCCCCCTCCTCCCTCCCTCTCCTCCCCTCCCTCTCTCTTCTTCACTCCATCCTCCCTTCTCTCCTCCCCTTTTCTTTTACCCCTCTATCCTCCTCCTGTATTATCCCCTCCCCTTCTCTTCTCCTTCACTTCTCATCTATCCTATTCCTCCTCTTTCCACCATCTCTCCCTATCCCTCTATCTTCCTCCTCTTCTCCCCATGCCTCTCCTTCTCCTTATTCATCCTCTCTATCCCTCTTCCTCCTCTTCTTCTCCTTCCTCTCCCTCCCTCCTCCTCTCCATCACCACAAGAAATAGGTATCCCACCATTAATATATTTCGAACCTTTCTCCATTTATTCCCGATTTTACTCAATTTTTAAGGCTTGTTTTCTATCGTAACTAAACGCAACAATTCTGATTTTTATTTCAGTGGAGTCGGCTTGTGGCTTTCTGGTGTCTTTTTCATTTACAGTTTATTTACAGTTTATTTACACTTTACTAATAGATAGGGATATTAAACACCTTTTTTCGCCCTCTGCTTGAAGTCAGTCTTGTAGGTTACCAGTTTATGTGTTAAATACCTTTGAGAAAAGTTATGTAAACACTTGATATCTGAAAGAGGTTGGAGTGTGGGAAGACAGACAGACAGACAGACAGACAGACAGACAGACAGACAGACAGACAGACAGACAGACAGCACTTATAGAGTAATAGAAGCAGCGACTAGCTCTCTCTCTCTCTCTCTCCCTCTCCCTCTCCTCCTCTCTCTCCTCCTCTCTCTCTCTCTCTCTCTCCTCCTCTCTCTCCCATAATCAACATCATAACAATATCAGCATCAACTAATGCCTCCATAAATACATTGGCTTGGCTTCTCTATATATAAACACGATGAGCTATTCCTGACTCCTGTGTTATCATGTTATCTCCTTCACTAACTTGTCATGATATACTGAACATGACAAATGAATCTGTCTCGTTTTGTCTGCTGCCTCCTTCTCCTCTTCTTCCTCCTCCTCTTCGTTTCTTCTTCCTCCTCCTTTTTCTTCTTCTTCCTCATCCTCCTCCTTCTCTTTCTGTTCCTCCTCCTCCTCCTCCTCCTCCTGTTCTTCCTCTTTTTCCTCCTCCTCCTCTTCCTCCTTCTCTTCTTCCTACTCTTCTTCTTCTTCCTCCTCGTTTTTCTTCCTCTTCCTCTTCTTCTTCATTCTCATCCTCCTCCTTCTCTTTCTGTTCCTCCTCCTCTTCCTCCTCCCCTGCTCCTCCTCTTCTTCTTCTTCCTCCTCCTCCTCCTCCTCCTCCTCCTCCTCCTCCTCCTCCTCCTCCTCCTCCTCCTCTACTCTTCTTCCTCCTCTTCCTCTTCCTCCTCCTCTTCTTCTTCCTCCCTCCTCTTCCTCCTCCTCTTCCTCTTCCTCTTACACAGCGTTAATGATGATCTCGTGTTTGATCTCGGTGTGACTGGCTAATGTATTATTGGTGGCGACTTTGGGAGGGGAGGGGGAGAGGGAAAAGAGGGAGAGAGGGGTAAAGAGGGAGGGAGGAGAGGAGGGAGGAGGAGGGAGGGAAGGAGGAGTAAGGGGAGGGAGTAGAGGAGGGAGGGAGGAAGGAGAGAGAGGGAAAAGAAGTGGGAGAATTAGAGAGGATTAACAAGAGATGGGTTATAAATAGTAACACAAATACAACCTTCTACAGCGAGTATTGTATTGCAGCTGTTGTATTTTAGGCACCATGTATTGTGGTATGTCTATTGTAAGTATTGTATTAAACGTATTGTATAATCAGATACCGTATTGTCAACGATTTTATTGTGGATGTTGAGTTTTAACGTTGTTCAATATTGCAAACGTCAAGTAAAACAGGTGTTGATTTTCAGGGTTTTTT